ACGACAGATACGACAAGTACGACCGACACGACAGATACGACCGACACGACAGATACGACCGACACGACAGATACGACAAGTACGACCGACACGACAAGTACGACCGACACGACAGATACGACAAGTACGACATACACGACAGATACGACAAGTACGACCGATACGACAAGTACGACCGATACGACAAGTACGACCGACACGACAAGTACGACCGACACGACAGATACGACAAGTACGACTGACACGACAGATACGACCGACACGACAGATACGACCGACACGACAGATACGACAAGTACGACCGACACGACAAGTACGACCGACACGAGAGATACGACAAGTACGACATACACGACAGATACGACAAGTACGACCGATACGACAAGTACGACCGATACGACAGATACGACAAGTACGACCGACACGACAAGTACATGTATTTACGCTAGTATAAATAACTATTCATAGAAAAATATATAACTGATTTTCGAAACCAATTATATTATTAACATTACAATAATTTGACATGGAATATAATTATAAGTAAATTGTTGATTGGTAGTAATCGAGGAAATGAAGTTTTGAGGATTTGGTACTCGGAACTCTAGTGGTGAACGTAATACATTGCGTGATCGTTTATGTAGTGCAAAATGGTACGCATCTATTGCAAGCAATGTAATTACTATTTTTCTACTTGCGATAATGTCGTTTTTGTCTAGAAACGCCATAATATTAATGTTGTAATTACAAATATCACAAGTATATTAATGTTTTTGGAGTTACTGGTGGAAAGAAATCCCTTCTCGTGCTACATTGCACACCTGGCTTCTGTCCCGACACATTACAATAGTCCAAGACGCCATTAATATTATTTGCGGAGTTTCGTACGCTGTCACAACAACATCGCGTTTGACGGTCGGTTTTTGACATTTAGGTTGATTCGGAGAGTTAGCTCAAAATCGCGGTACGCGTGTACCGCCCATAAGGCCCTTCTAAGCTTCTTTATATGTTCTGTGGCTAAGACAAAACCAAGTTTATTGTCTGATAATTAAGGAGGGAAATATGAAGGCTACATGGAAAGTTTTCCGGAAGTTTTGAAAGTCGGCAATTTTGTAGATTTTGATGTGCCCATTACGATTTCTTTTTTGCACCTTTGCATTTTACGAGAAAACCGTCAACTACAAAATTAAATATATGTCGCAGAATCAACAAAGATGCACAACTATCGAGTATCGTTATTTTAGAACAACGCCATCTGTTATCATTTGTCGGAAACGTCAAGCAGTGTGCTTGGGTGATGGTCGGTACGGGGCGTGGCATGTTGGCATTTGAAAGGCGTCACTTTTGAGTTGGACACGAGGGTGAGCGGTTGTTCTGTCAGCCCGTAATGAAATTACCGCGTTTACGAAGAATCCGATGACGAAGTACCCCCAATGGGTGAATTGTCTTCTACATTTATATATTATAAAGTCGGAGAACCGTTCGTCACCATGTCTACGACAATTGCTGCCCAGCTCCTTAAACTGTCAAACACCAAGCGGTCACCGGTGACCGCAACCTATTGTTCTATAATTGTGTCTACAAAACCGGTACTCGACGAGTTAAACTGTCAAACACCAAGCGGTCACACACCAAGCGGTCACCGGTGACCGCAACCTATTGTTCTATAATTGTGTCTATAATGACGGTACTCGACGAGTTAATTATAAGTCATAACGAAAGATTGCTTTGTTTATTTTAAGTTCTCACTCAATTGTACAGGTGACGTGATCATCAGTATGCTCAATGCTATGTTTTGTTACTTATTAGTAGTCGCAAATTCGTATGTTTGGAATGTGACACGTGTCGTGTTAGCATTGGTAAGACAAAAATAGTTATATAATATTAAAGATTATTTCTCCACGGACTCTAGGTCCGTGCCCTTGTCATACAGTTTTTTAATTATAATACATCTAGTCAATATTTATAAAGTAAAGAGGGAACCTAGTTACATACTACAATTAACTACATCTATATAATTATTAGCAAAAGTATAGGTTACATAATAATTAGGCACTATTTATTTATTTCTATTTCAAAGGCTTTATGAAACCAGCCCACCAACACGATGGGAGAGCCGACCTGACCCAGCAGAAGGCACCCGTTCACGAGTATGACGTGTGTGTCAGCAATTGGTCCGGTCAACCTTTTTATTGGGAACGGAACAACCCAACACACAGCGCCACCGACTGTAGGACATTTATGTGTGCATGACGCCTCAACCCTTGCCACATGGGCCGATTCCAATAAAGCGTACAATAGTCCAAAATTCAATTGGTCATATTCTATTTCTACATGTTTCTGCACACACATTTCCTCATGTTGCATTCGTTCCATCACAAGCAACACTCCCCGCCCAAGAGAGCACCCACGACTGCCGCGTCCCTGTGTTTGATGGCCATTTTCAGGTTGTAGTCCTTAATACCTTGCTCACCCTCATCAGCCGCCTTCCTGATTAGTTTGCTTATCGCGTCTTCACTGTTGTCTGTGTAATAGATGCAACCATGCGTGTGACGCGATATTGCTACTACCGCGTGTGGTACGCTGTCATGTATTTGATGTTTCTTTGTTGCTGTGTTGACAACAATCACATTCGCACACGAAAGTCCCTGTGCCTCGTGTATCGTGAGCACGCGTGATCCCACGGTCGACCCGTATCCCTGGTTCTTAAGGGATTCCTTCTCTGCCTGAGTGTGTACCAGGTATAAAGTGTCGGGGAGTGACTTTGGAATCATCGCCCCCGAGAACCTTTTTATCTCGAGGGATCTCACGAACGACCTGGACGAATATAATTATGCCACTGTAAACTGTGCTGTGGGCATACGCCACATCCATTGGATTTCTGTGGGTACACATCAATTCCTGGCTTATGGGCGTGATATATGTAGGGCGGCTGTAGAGACAAAAATAGTTAAGGGACGCGATGCTTGCAAAGAGAAAGCGGTTTTTTTAGTTGCCCCTTCCCCCGATACAGGGAAGGGGCAGGCAGGACATTCCTTTGTGGGACGTCGTTACGCGATCACGCTCATCTCTTACGATAATTCTAAATGTCAAACAAGTGTAATATTACCATCTTTTGTAATAAGCTTACATTACTTTACTGACTGTTATCATTGTGAATACAATACGTTAATATGGACATACAGAATAGTTCTCTTTACTACTGTTTCCTTCGACGTTTCCGACATATAACATAACATCACGCCTTTTATCCTCAAAGGGGTAGGCAGAGGTGAAGTGGGTGTTACATTGTTCAGTGGCATAATGTGCACATTATGCCACTGGCCGTTGTGTGTGTTGTGTGTGGCGTTGGCCGAGTGGTCGCAAGTGCGACTGCCGGGCAAGGGGTCCCGGGTACAATTCCCGGGTTGGGCAAAGTATTACTGGGTTTTTAAACAATCTCAGTAGAAGCACGGAGTCTGGAATTGTGCCCGGTATATGGCAATAGGCTCACCCCCTATTACTTAGGACTCATAACATAAATAGTGGAAAGTGGTATTACTTCTGTGTGCACCTCTGCCTACCCCTTCGGGGATAATAGGCGTGATGTTATGTTTTATGTAAATTATAAAATACCACTTCAACACCATCAACCAACAAAAACAAAACAAAGAGCATAATTTTCGAAAACAATTTTATTAAATTTTAACTCAACAAGAAAATAAAAATAATCACTGATGACGAAACTTAATACACGACATTACCAGCACATGCATTTAGACCAAACCTTCCAGCTAGGGGACTAGGACTGAAGGCAGCTACTGGAGCAGTTAAGGGACCAGCAGGGAAGGTGGCAGCAATGGGCGGAATGGCAGCACCAGCGCCATAGGCAATGGAGTCACTGGCCATAGTCGTCACACCATTACCACAAGCATGATTTATGGCACCGGCTCCAGCTGACGGCATAGCTCCTTCCATTCCCGTGGTTCCAACGAACGGTAGCTCACCAGCGACAGACAAAGCACCTTCAAACACATTCTCAGACACTATGGAAATTCCAGTTGGGGCAATCGCTGATGAGCTAGTTACTGGCAGAGAACCACCACTAGTTGCAGTGAAGTCCATGGCTGGGGGGTAGGCTCCTTGTAGCATTCCATCTGCTACAAGTCCTCTAGCAGCTAAGGCTGGAGAAATTAAGCCATTGTTCAGTAAGCCTGCGTTGGGTAAGGCTGGAGACAGACCCATTCCATAAGGACCGCCCAGCCCAAGACAGGATTGGGAGTAGGCGACCTGTAATCAAAAATTAGTTATTAGATTCCTATAGTGATTTTTACAAAGTACAAAGTATTATATTATAACCGTTTTGTGAAGTTGGGACTGTCGGGCACGAGGTCTCAAGTTCGATTCCCGAGTCGAGAAAAGTATTACATGGGTTATAAAAAAATTCTTAGTACTAGCACGGAGTTTGGAATTGTGCTCAGTATATGGCAATAGGCTCACCCCCTACTTCTTGTGACTTATAACATAAATAGTGAACAGTGGGTGCTACATTGTACAGTGGTATTAAGTGCCGTAATGTGCACATTACAGAGGTGCATGCAGAGGTGCACCTCTGCCTACCCCTTCGGGGATAAAAGGCGTGATTTTATGTTATAAATATTTTTGACGATATATAAATTTGAAATGACGTCATTTCTATGTACATTTTATATGTAGAAATGACGTTTTAGCCCCCACTCCTAAACTTCGATTTGTTTTATCTAAGTATCATTTCATTATACAACAAAATAAAAAAATACGTGTCTAATATTTTTTCATTACCTAACTGACGGACTAATTAGGTTTTTAATTTTCATACCCTGTCAAATGTCCAAAGTTATTATTCAGTTAAAATTTATCTGGCGTTGAAAAAATCACCCCTTGATGAACACTTTTTAATTATTTTTTTTTTATTTAAAGTGTATAAATAATGCTATTGTAATAAAAAAACAAATGAAGTCACAAGTACCTGGACAAGCAACGCTTGAGCGCAGAAGATGACGAGAGCTTTAGCGGCCATGTTGATGAAGTAGAATCGATTTCCTATTCGAGTATACACACTTGAATGATCGCTACCACACAGACGATAGCTTATATTTACATCGTTATCAAGAAATTACATAAGTCATTGCATGATTTAATTGTAATACATACGTAAAAGTAGTAACTGTCGACTAATCAGACGATTATATGTCACGTTCGTTATTATAATTGTCAGATATGGTCTTTGTTAATAAACTAGCTTGCACCGCGGCTTTGCACGTGCTTTTTTAAGCAGTTGGGCGCAGATTTATAAAAAAAAATGATGCACGACTCACAAATAGTCCGCATATCGTGTCGGGAGTTCTATTCCCACACGGAACGACTCTTTGTGTGGTTCATAGATTGTTGTTCCGGGTCTGGGTGTCATGTGTATGTGAACTTGTATGTTTGTAAACGCATCCACGATACAGGAAAATATTCTAGTGTGGGGCAACGTTTGTCATCAATACATCAATACATACATAGTATAAAACAAAGTCGCTTTCGCTGTATGTCCGTATGTATGCTTAGATCTTTAAAACTACGCCACGGATTTTGATGCGGTTTTTTTTAATAGATAGAGTGATTCTTAAGGAAGGTTTGTATGTATATACATATTGCACCCGTGCGAAGCCGGAGCGGGTCGCTAGTTATGAATAAAAAAACAATATCAATTTTTAGCAGTCTACATAATACTTCCATCCAAAGTTTCCTATATTCGAGGGAAGTGTGGGGTTAGAAAGAGACAAATAGTAGCCCATGTCATTTTCTATTCTTATTACTATCTTCACTTAAAAATACAAGGTCAATCCGTCGCTCTGTTTCGCCGTGAAAGACGAACAAAGAAAACGACACACACATTTCCTCATTGATAATAATATGTATTAAGTCAATAAGTGTGAATAGATAATATTATATCATTACATATTATGTTAAATTTTGTAATAACTAGCCTTTATAAACGTTGACTTTGGCTTCGTAATCATTCAGTTTACATTGTTGAACATCAAACATGTCTACCTTCGCTTTTGTGTTCCTCTGCATCCAAGCTTGTTTGGTCCAGGTTCGTACTCGTTCAAATTAAACTGTCAAACACCGAGCGGTCACCGGTGACCGCAACCTATTGTTCTATAATTGTGTCTATAATGACGGTACTCGACGAGTTAAGTACAATTTAAATGTTGATTTTGTGTTGACTGCCTCGTTGGCCGAGTGGTTGCAAGTGCGACTGCCGGGCAAAGGGTCTTCGGTTCGATTCCCGGTACGGGCAAAGTACTACTGGGTTTAAAAAAAATCTCAATTGTAGCACGGATTTTGGAATTGAACCCGGTGGGCTCACCCCCTATTACATGGGACTCATAACATAAATAGTAAAAAGTGTTACATTGTACAGTGGCATAATGTGCATCTCTGCCTACTCGTTTGAGGTTAAAAGGCTTGATGTTACGTTATGTTATTTTGTGTGGACTGTTAATTTAACAGAAACCGGGACGCAGCGCTCTGTGATAAACCTGAACCTTTTAAAGTGTGATCTCTGAGCGTAGAGATTATGACAAACCTCTTTATTACCCTTATAGGTCTCTTCTACTTAAAAGGAGTCAACCGACTATATAGGGACTTTAGTCTAGCAGCAAACTCTCAGGAACTGTTGATCATGATGATGAATCAAATATAAATATTAATATCAACAATCTAAGTCAAAGTCAAGGTGCCGCGGAGAACCTAATGGGTTACCGGGGCTCCGGCTCGACGTGCAGGAAAAGGAACGGGGTGATTCAGTAATGCTGGAATACTGAAACGTTACTCTGTCATTTTACAAAGAACTTGTAGAGACAGAACTATGGTTAAGCGCGACTTAAAATTGAGTAACGTTTCAGTATTCGGGCATAAGACTCTGACACTCCCTCCCGCCTCACCCAGGCGGGAGCAGTCATTCGATGATTTTAAAAAAAGTCAAAGTCAAGGTCAAAGTCAAAGCATTTATTTCAATTTATCCTTTATTTAGGCACTATTGAAACGTAAAAATTTACTTTTTTGTCCGTCTATCTGTTAGTAAAGCTAGGCGCTCGTTCCAAATTATACTTTCGAATGGAGAAGAACGAGCAAGAAATTCAATCGTTATTATTTTTTTAAATGTTTTTTACAGTCTTATTAATACATTATCTGGTCCTTTACCTAATGTATATGTGAGATCGATCGACACGACAATACAACGTCAAAATTTGATGTAACTACGGAATCAACTCCTGAACTTAAAAAATGGAAGCAAGACCAACTGTAATAAATAATTCATTTTTATATTTCACAGACCGTCTTCAGCCAATGTCTTGGTGGATATCCAGGCTATACTCAAGTTCCAGTAGCCGCTCCTTGCGGCTTCAGTGCTGGAGTTACTGAGTTCGCTTACCCCGGTGCTTACCCTGGTGCTTACCCTGGTGCGGTTAGCTTTGCTAATGCCTACCCTGGAGCTTATGGAGCATCAGGCGTTGCTCCTTATGGCGGTGCTGGTGAAGGCAACGTGGCGGTCGCTGGTGAGCTGCCAGTCGCTGGTACTACCGCCGTCGGTGGTCAGGTCCCCATCATGGGCGCTGTGAGCTTCGGTGGTGCTATCCCAGCTGGTGGTGCAGTATCTATTAATGGACAATGCGCTTGTGGATGTGGATCTCCTTACGTCTATTAAATAGACATTTTGTAATAAGATAATAAAGTAATGTTGACATAATCAATGTGGTTTCTATAACTTTTTTATTTTATTCCTCGCTACTAAGTGCGACTGCCGGGCAAGGGGTCTCGGGTTCGATTCTCGGGTCGGGCAAAGTATTACTGGGTTTTAAAAAAATTCTCGGTAGTAGCACGGCGTCCTGAGTTGTGCCCGGTATATGGCAATAGGCTCACCCCATGAAACACATACCTAACATAAATAGTGAAAAGTGGGTGTTAAATTGTATAGTGGCATAATGTGCACCTCTGCTTACCACTTCGGGGATAAAAGTCGTGATGTTATGTTATGTTATTTTATTCTATAAGTAAAGATACAGATGCCAGATTGAAATCGTACACAACTATTTAGTTATAAATAATGAGGGAAACTGACGTCCAACTAAAACTGTACATTACCTACTTACATTGAATTATACAAAACTATTGCTAAATATACATATATGGCATTAGGCTCACCCCCTATTACATAGGACTCATAACATTTTTTTATGATCTACAAAATGTGGGGTCTGGGTGTCATGTGTATGTGAACTTGTATGTTTGTAAACGCACTCACGATACAGGAGGTCATAGTAGTGTCTAATTTAGAAAAAAAAACTAAATTGTCTTTGAATCCTGTAAGAGGTCGGCATAATAAAATAAAATGCTTTATAGTAGCCGTTTTAATCAACCGCCTCTAAACTATCACTTAACTAAGGATTACTTAGCGTGAGGGAGCTAAACTAACCTTTTACCGTCCTGTACTTTTAGGTGTCACTTACACGTTGCCGGTGAAAACTATCATGTCGTTAAGTGCTTACTTATCGCAGCTTACGGGATCCTTAACATTTTAGAGGGTTTGGTGACAACACTCACTAGCTTATTGCCATTCACTGGACTCAGGACTGGACTCATAGTCAGCATTAAGTAACAAAATACATAAAAAAATACAACTTGGAACAAAATACTGGTCAGAAACTACTTGTTTTTCTTCGGTATGAATGGGCCGGCTCGACCGGAGTGATACCACGGCCTCACAGAAAACCGACGTGAGGCAACACTTGCGTTGTGTTTCGTCGTGTGAGTGAGGTTACCGGAGGCCCAATTACCCTCCCCTTCCCCAATCTCCCCAATTCCTGAATCCCTAACCATCCTTAAACTCCTAATCTATCTATTGTTGTATTGTATTTATATTGTATACCTTCGTGTTGTAGTAAATCAAAATCCCGTACTAATGATCTTTTTTTTATGGCATAAGCCGGTAAACGAGCAGACGGATCACCTGGTGGTAAGCAATCGGCGTCGCCCATGGACACCTGGAACACCAGAGGCGTTACAAGTGCGTTACGGGCATTTTGGGGATTAGGAGTTTGAGGATCGTTTGGGATTCAGGAATTGGGGAGATTGGGGAAGGGGATAATAGGGCCTCCGGTAACCTCACTCACACGACGAAACACAACGCAAGCGTTGCTTCACGTCGGTTTTCTGTGAGGCCGTGGTATCACTCCGGTCAAGTCGGTTCACACCTAAAAGAATTACCACATTAGAATCAGTGTAGCGTGTATTATAACAATAAAAATGATTAGGAGTAGTCTCATTGATCAATAGAAATACGAAAATGAAACAATCAGTTCATTACGAAGATTTTATTGTTTTATTGCTGCCTACACACATCTCTACCGATGTGTGACGAACAGGGTTCTCGCGTAACATTGCCCACCACCACTCACCGATATATATTTCCCATTTTACGAAAGGGATCCATGACCTTCCACTCGGTAGTCGTATTTGCGATAACGACGTCTACGACGTGCACTATGATGACTTGCTCTGCGAAATAACTACAAGTTCGTAGCAGCTACGCCGTGCTACGCCGTAGCACATCTTGCTACGATTGCTACGTGTGCAAATTTTTTAGTATCATACATAATTATGATAAATTATTACATAACGTATCAGATAAGGCAAAACATCACGTCTTTTAATTCCTAAAAGGGTAAGCAGAGGTGCTTATAAAACCTTATTTTTACGAGAAACTTGAATGTAGTTTAATTCTTTGTTCCGAATAAGTAATTGAATCGATTACAATAATTTTACAATTTATTTATGAACTAGCGACCCGCCCCGGCTTCGCACGGGTGCAATATGTATATACATATAAACCTTCCTTAAGAATCACTCTATCTATTAAAAAAAACCGCATCAAAATCCGTTGCGTAGTTTTAAAGATCTAAGCATACATACGGACATACAGCGAAAGCGACTTTGTTTTATCCTATGTATTGAAGTATATATTATTATGAATGTATGAATGTATGTGTGAAATGGAATCTCGCAACTTTATTTTGAAGCTGATAACCTTAATAGCTAAAATGGTGTATTAATTTTGTATCAAACTAGTCAATCAATCAATTGTCGAAACAATGGCAATAAAAAGTGACAAAGTTAATCAGAAAAAACATTTATTAAATTAATGAATAATTTATTCGCTCAGTAGTAAATAGGAGCATTGCAACCGCAAGCACATTGTCCAGTGATGGACACAGATCCAAGAGCACCCACAGGTCCACCGAAGCTCACAGCGCCCATAATGGGGACCTGACCAGCGACGGCGGTAGTACCAGCGACTGGCAGCTCACCAGCGACCGCCACGTTGCCTTCACCAGCACCGCCGTAAGGAGCAGCACCAGGGTAAGCCAGACCATCATAAGCTAAAGGAGAAGCCAGACCGAAAGGAGCAGCAATGCCAGGAGCAGCAAGTCCAGAAGCCACAAGACCATTAGCAGCCAGGCCAGCAGCAGACCATCCAAGAGGACCAGCCAGACCACGAGCAGCTAAGCCAGGAGCGGCCAGACCGAAGGGAGCCTCCACAACAGCTGCGGGGCTGGTGCACTGACTGAACACATGCTGGAATAAAATAATTGATGAATTAGTTTAGACACAATAAATTAAAAAAGTATCTCCATAAGAAATTATTAGTAGGTCACTTACCTGGACCAAACAAGCTTGGATGCAGAGGAACACAAAAGCGAAGGTAGACATGTTTGTTCAACGAGGAGCTAAAAACTGAATGATGAACTGGATCGGTCCCTGAGCTTATATACTTGACACATTGTCCATATCTACCGCGAGGAGTTCACATTGCATCACTTGTATTGAATGGTCTCAATAATTGTGCGTTTGTTTGTTGGTTAATACACTTATCGCAAAAGTAGGCTTATCGTATTACATAAAAACAATGAAGTAATTTGTAAATTGCTCTAGTATCTGTAACACTATATTTATTATATAAAACCCGCGACAGCAGCACTGGACATCATTCTCGTGGCAGCACTAGAACAGCAGCATCATGTCTGTGAAGGCTATCCTCGTCCTCTGCGCCCAGGCGCTCCTCGTCAAGGTGAGAATCCATCGATTCTTTGAATATCTCACAGATTATTTTTAATATTATGGCATTGTCCTTATTCTAATGGTTTTTTTTTTATTTGCAGTCTACTTTCGGCCAAGTTTGTGGGTATGCCGCTCCCGTAGTAACCAGCCCTTGTGGACTGGCTGCTCCCGGCCTAGCGGCTCCATGGGCTGGTTTAGCTACTCCTTGGACTGACTTAGCTGCTCCTTACGGTCTGGCTGGCAGAGGTCTGGGTTACGAAGGCATCATTGGTGCTCCGACCATGGAGTTCAGCCCCACCAGTGGTGGTGGTCTGCCTGTGACCAGTGGCTCCGCCATCGCTCCCGTCGGTATTTCTGTGATGTCAGACAACGCTTACGAAGGTATCCTGCAAGTGATTGGAGAGCTGCCGTTTGTGGGTACTGTCGCTATGGAAGGAGCGTTGCCTACCGTTGGTGGTGGTGCCATCAACCATGCCTGTGGTAATGGAGTGAATGCCATGGTCAGTGAGAATGCTGGCTTTGCTCCAGCTCTTGGTGTTGCTCCCTACGGTTCCTATGGTTTTCCTGCAGGATGGGCTAATGCTGTTGCTCCCACACCAATTGGCAACCCAGATCTTATTGGCTACCGAAGCGGTTGTGGCTGTGCCAATAACTTCGCCTATGCCATCTAAGATTATTATTGAGTTAATTAAATATACAATGTTTTAAATCTTATTTAAGGTTATATTTTTTTCCCTGTTTACTTTTACTAGTTTAATGAAAGATTTGCCTGGGCCAAATTAAAATAAACCTTATATACAACAAAAGGCTTGGGCCTCTGAGTTTAGTGACCTTGAAATGGGTGTTGGCCTGTAAATTGATAATAGGGTGAAATACGACTGCTATGACAAGTAAATAGACCGCATTAAGAGTATCCAAAAAATATTTATTCGGTTTTTTTTTTCGTCTGATGATTGAATCGATGCCGTATCGATCAGAAAACTATATTATTATAGAACTACTTTCGCAAAAGATTTCATCTGTACCCACTTTTAAATCACCGATTGCACTTATTTTGTCAAGTTTCTGAATAACGAGATCGATTGCTGACCTTTTGCATAATGCTGTTTAATGTTCCGAAAAAATCGGTTCGATTTAACCCATCAATTGCTGTCCCAACTTCTTCCCCAAATTACAGACAGAACTCGTATATTGTGCGAGTGAGTAGAGATTTTAATAGATTGTGCACGGATTCAGGACTCGATCCATTTACCACAATCAGTTCCAGGGTGCATAGGCGACTAAACCTTAGTAATATCTTCGGAAATAATTACTTAAATTACATACTGTAAAAAGCATATTAATCTATGATAAATCCACAATTTATTTAAAGTACTTAATTGGATAAGGATTAATGCTGTATTGTTTAAAATCAGTTCGTAAATAATCATTGATAGTAAAGGATAAAAAATGGTTATGGTGGGTTATCCCTACTAGATAGACATATACCATCGCGGACTTTTTTGTTGAACGTTTTAAGGTGGTCAATACTGTAGTACATTATTTTGGTCTATCTCGTAGGATACAGCCAGTTTTTGCAATATAAATGCAACAAAAACGTGCCGATATACGACATCACATTAGAAACCTCTAAATTTATCAGTGTTTCTCTACTATATTATGCATTTATTATACATACATACATACAAAAGTGTCGTGGTGGCCCGGAGGTTTAAGACGCCCACTTCTCATGCATGAGGGTGCGGGTTCGAAACCTACCAACGGCAAGTACCAATGTGACTTTTTCCGAGTTATATGTACTTTCTAAGATTATTTAGATACCACTGATAAACGGTGAAGGAAAAACATCGTGAGGAAACCTGGACTTATAATTTCTAATTATAAGTTTGAAATCGCCAACCATTCATTGAGCAAGCGTGGTGATTAATGCTCAAACCTTTTCCGTGCGAGAAGAGGCTTTGCTCAGCAGTGGGCATTTATAGGCTGTTGCTGATACATATAAACCTTCCTTATTCTATCTATTAAAAAAAACACATCAAGATTTGTTTCAAAGATTTAAGCATACAAAGAGACATAGGGACAGAGAAAGCGACTTTATTTTATACTATGTAGTGATGTGTACAGTTACAATACAGTTTTATACTATGGTTTCTAACAGACTTCAAAAAAAGAAGAAGGAAGGACCGATGCGATTATCAAAAAAGTGTTTCTTACACTTAGAAAAAGGTTATTAACCGACCGATTTAAAAAAAGGGGTTGGAGTTGGAGAGTTATTTATAGGTGATGGCCTGATGGTGTCTATATTTAAGCAAGAAGTTATTAAGTGTCTATTTTTAATTACTGTGGCGAGTAACCATTGAAGTCATCAGAGATTAAATAGTATCGTATTTTACTTGCACTTGCAAGTAAAATACGATTATTATAAATAATGCATGTAAGCTTTTCCGCAAAATTCTAGAAGTTTTTTAGAAGGTACCAAATCATAACTGTAATAATTATAGTAATACACATTATTTCTGCAGGTGTCATAGTCATCCATAGTTCCAATTTACCGGTCCACAGCAACTCATCCATAGCCCAACCTTTTTATTCCATTATCTACAATACTTCTTCACTAACCGGGGACTGTCCTTGGGTGCATTCCCATAGTGCATACAGGGATAGTCGCCGGTTTGTGTGTCCATTACATTTAGAATTACATTTAGATTAAAGTGGTCTAAAGGGCCTCTGCGCAGTTGGCTTCGGCCCCTCGAACGCCTCCCAAATGTTCGGGACCCTGTGGTCCGGTGAATGGTAAAGACATAGTAATACAAAAGTGAGAATCAACTTATGAATTTTATCAAACATCTTCCAATTAAATCAAAACAAAGGCATTTATGCACAATTATAATTTTATTAGCTTCAAAGTGTAGATTCTTTTTTATGCTGATTAACTTTTTAAATGGTTGCACTTAGATGGCCCATCCGCAACCACAACCCCTGCCGATCAGATCACCTCGGAGACCGAGTCCAGGAGCAGCAAGAGCAGCGGGACCGAAAGCACCAGCGGGACCGTAAGCACCAAGAGGAGCCAGTGCGGCAGCCGGAGCATAGGCAGCAGAGCCACTGGCCATGGCGGTCCTGCCATTACCACAGGCATGGTTGACGGCACCAGCACCAGCAGAGGGCACCACGCCTTCCATAGCGACAGTACCCACGAACGGCAGCTCTCCAATCACTTCCAGAGCACCCTCGTAAACATTGTCAGACGCTACAGAGATACCTACAGGAGCGATGGCAGAGCCACTGGTGACAGGCAGACCACCACCACTAGTAGGGCTGAACTCCATTGCGGGGGCACCGATGATGGCGTCGTAACCCAGGCCTCTACCAGCCAAACCATAAGCACCAGCTAAACCAGCAGCTCCAAAGCCAGCCCAAGGAGCCACAAGCTCAGAAGCGGCCAGTCCACAAGGAGTGCCTAAAACGGGAGCAGCCAGGCCGTAAGGAGTAGCTAGTGGAGAGATTTCAGCCACCGCAGCTCGGCTGGTGCACTGGCTTAGAGCAGACTGGAAAAATAAATGATAACTTAGCAAAACATAACTTATTCGTTGATTTTACGATGAATAATTTATTCGATGAATTAATATAGTTTGTACTTAGTTAAAATGTCGACTAAAACCGAATATAAGTTTGATGAGGTCTCACCTTGACGAGGAGCGCCTGGGCGCAGAGGACGAGGATAGCTTTCACAGACATGATACTGCTGTTCTAGTGCTGACACGAGAATGATGTTCTAACTACAATGTTACTGGTTTTATACCTAATTTTGTTATCTAATACTTTGAAAATTAATATAGGGAATTGTTTAAAATACTTACGAAATTCGATAAGCCTACAGTTGATTAACAAAGAAATATACAATTAATAAATACTATTGAGTAATTATGTGTAAAATGACGAAATATGAACTGCGTATGGAAGATAGTACAATATGTTCCGTATATAAGCGCTAGGACCGATCCAGTTCATCATTCAGTCTTCAGCTCCTCGTTGAACATCAAACATGTCTACCTTCGCTTTTGTGTTCCTCTGCATCCAAGCTTGCTTGGTCCAGGTGAGAAACTCACTTCATTTTAGCAATTTATGAATAAGTATTTTATATATTCTCTCGACTCTATATTTTTATTCTAAATTACTTTATTCCAGAATGTGTTCAGTCAGTGCACCAGCCCTGCAGCAGTTGTGGAGGCTCCCTTCGGTCTGGCCGCTCCTGGCTTAGCTGCTCGTGGTCTGGCTAGTCCTCTCGGTTGGGCTGCTCCTGGCCTGGCTGCCAACGGCCTTATTGCTCCCGGCCTTGCTGCTCGTGAACTTATTGCTCCTGGCATTGCCGCTCCCTTCGGTCTAGCCTCACCTTTAGCTTATGATGGTCTGGCCTACCCTGGAGTTGCTCCTTACGGCGGTGCTGGTGAAGGCAACGTGGCGGTCGCTGGTGAGCTGCCAGTCGCTGGTACCACCGCCGTCGCTGGTCAGGTCCCCATCATGGGCGCTGTGAGCTTCGGAGGACCTGTAGCTGCTGCTGGATCCGTCTCCATCACTGGACAGTGCTCTTGCGGCTGCAACGCTCCCATTTACTATTGATTTGATGATTCACGGAGAGTTGAAGATAAAGATTTAAATAAATAACATTTGAACATCTCAAGCTCTCTTGTTTTATTATGATGGCTTTCTTAATGTCTTCTGCGTTGAGTATATTTTTGAGTTGTTTAGCAGTTTAGCAAATAACGGTTTGAAATCCATTCGCACTATATCGCACTGATGGATTTTAAGCCGTTATTCGCAAAGACAGTATCCCTGATTTGCAGATTGCGTGGCAGCCAGAACAAAATCCCTGGAGACTGTGGCGGACGGATTTTCATCCCCACTTTAGAAGTCATTTGTGAGGAGAGTTGTTCAATAATTTAATTTAATAATAATTATGATAGCAATATATTCCAGTGTAGTTAAAATGTTGAATGTAAGATTGACAGTTTCTCCATAATTTTAAGTATGACTGATGTTAATGTAATTATGATAATTGGATTAACTTAAGTATGAATGCGATGTTAAATGCCTTTTATCCCCGAAGGGGTAGGCAGAGGTGCACCTTACGGCACTTAATGCCATAACCGGCCGACATAAGCCGGTAAACCGTTAGGTTCTCCGCGGCTCCATATCGGCAATAGTCCTATTGGGTCCCATCTATGGTGGTCTGATGACTCCTTGCGCAGCGGAACGCGACGCGCCGTACGCTCGGGCTGGTTCTGGTCGCATTTGCCACCATCTTGGTATAAAATAGACCTCTACTAACGTCTTGGTATAAAATAGACCTCTCCTAATCTGGAGTCATACCGGACCTCAACTATACAAAGCCGCAGCCGGCAAAGAAGGCAACCTAGGACTTCGTTAGTTATTGTTATTTTCCATACTCGATTAATACGTTTTTAAATGTTTAATTATAAAATATAGATTTCAAAATATAATAAGCAGTAGCCTACCAGTAACGACTGAAATCCAACCTACCGGTCGTCAGGGCTCCAGAGATTCTTAGATTACTACCCCTATGTTTTTTTATGGCATAAGCCGGTAAACGAGCAGACGGATCGCCTGATGGTAAGCAATCGGCGTCGCCCATGGACACCTGGAACACCAGAGGCGTTGCAAGTGCGTTACCGGCCTTTTAGGGATTAGGAGTTTAAGGATCGTTGGGGATTCAGGAATTGGGGAAGGGGAGGGTAATTCGGCCTCCGGTAACCTCACTCACACGACGAAACACAACGCAAGCGTTGCTTCACGTCGGTTTTCTGCTCGGCCGTGGTATTACTCCGGTCGAGCCGGCCCATTCGTGCCGAAGCATGGCTCTCCCAAACTTGAAAAAAAAACAAGTAGTTTCTGACCATTGATGAATGTTTTTGGTTTTTTTTTAACATGGCCCCACACTGAGATTTTCTCCTGTGTCGTGGGTGCGTTTACAAACATACAAGTTCACATACACATGACACCCAGACCCGGAACAACGATCTGTGGATCACACAAAGAGTTTTTTCGTGCGAGAATCGAGCCCGCGACACGTTGCCTAGTGGTCAGTTGCCCAACCACCGCGCCAACCGCAGTCTGATGAATAATATGTGGATAGAATTGAATAATGAATGAATAGCTAATTGATTGATGAAATCAAGTATATGTACTTCAACGCGTTTTGTTGGCATTTGATACTTTCTGAAAACTTTAAAATATTTGGCTTGATCACATAATCACGGTCTGATACCTAGCTTTCATTATTTGGAAGCCCAATTACAAGATCATAATAACGTAATATCACGCCTTTTATCCCCGAAGGGATAGGCAGAGGTGCACACAGAAATAACACCCACTTTTCACTATTTATGTTATGAGTCCCATGTAATAGGGGGTGAGCCTATTGCCATATACCGGGTACATTTCCAGACTCCGTGCTACTACTGACAATTTTTTTAAAACCCAGTAATACTTTGCCCGGCCCGGGAATCGAACCCGAGACCCCTTGCCTGGCATTACAAGATGAATTACTACTTTCGGAGATTAACAAACAAGATTCGGACATGACAATCAGGAACTATTTTAAAATAGGGTAGTACATTTTTTTTTTTGCATATTACACAGGCCCATTTTCGCTGAGCTTACATTTAACCCAAAGGTTGACTGGGAGAAAATGCCATATGGCATTAAGTCCGCCTTATGTACCTTATTTTGTGTGCATTAAAGTGTTAATAAAAATAATAAATAAAATTGAGGTTATGTGAAAGACAATTTTCATGTATTCAGTTCAAGAGCTCATAAACATTTTCGGTGAGTCGTCAAGAGGTCTTAGAGGGCCCATCCGCAACTGCAGCCTCTGCCCATAAGATCACCTCGGAGACCGAGTCCAGGAGCAGCAAGAGCAGCGGGAGCGAAAGCACCAGCGGGACCGTAAGCAGCAAGAGGAGCCAGTGCAGCAGCCGCAGCAGCCGGGGCATAGGCAGCAGAGCCACTGGCCATGGCGGTCCTGCCATTACCACAGGCATGGTTGACGGCACCAGCACCGGCAGAGGGTACTACTCCTTCCATAGCGACAGTACCGACAAATGGTAGCTCTCCAATCACTTCCAGAGCACCCTCGTAAACATTGTCAGACGCCACGGAGATACCGACGGGAGCGATGGCTGAGCCACTGGTCACAGGCATACCACCACCACTGGTGGGGCTGAACTCCATAGCGGGGTCACCGATGATGGCATCGTAGGCCAGGCCTCTGCCAGCCAGACCGTAAGGAGCGGCTAAACCAGTAGCTCCAAAACCAGCCCAAGGAGCGACGAGCTCAGAAGCGGCCAGTCCACAAGGGCTGGCTAGGATGGGGGCAGCATACCCACAAGCCTGACTGAGAGCAGACTGAAAATAATAAGAACAATTAGAATAAGGACAATACTTCTAAATCTATGAATGTATTTTTTACACCATATTGAAAATATTTGTTTTAGTTAATTCAAAGAGGGTAGACTAGATACATTTATTTTGGTTTTAGATTAAACCCACACTAATTTTATTTAAAGAGTAAAATGCTGTAATATGTCTCACCTTGACGAGGAGTGCCTGGGCGCAGAGGACGAGAATAGCCTTCACAGACATGATGCTGCTGTTCTAGTGCTGACACGAGAATGATGTTCAGTGCTGCTGTCGCGGGTTTTATACTAAACCGTGTTATCAGTTTCTTTCAAAAATATAGGTAATTGTTATTGTGAATTTACGAAGCTTACAAAACCTGATAAGCCTACTAATTGACCAACAAAGAAACGCACTTTATTAGTATTGAGACACATTTGTACAGTTACACAATGTGAACTCTTCGCGGTAGATATGAACAATGTGTCAAGTATATAAGCTCGGGGACCGATCCAGTTCATCATTCAGTCTTCAGCTCCTCGTTGAACATCAAACATGTCTACCTTCGCTTTTGTGTTCCTCTGCATCCAAGCTTGCTTGGTCCAGGTGAGAAACCTATTTCATTTGACTTGATTTAAAAGCTGCCTCGACCGAGTGGTTCTCAGGTTCGATTCCCGGGTCAGGCAAAGTATTATTGGGTTTTTAAAAAAATCTCAGTAGTAGCACGGAGTCTGAAATTGTGCCCGATATAATATACCGGGTACAATTCGGCCCCCCTTTAATTTAGCCAAAATAGTAGGGAACATAAATAAGGAAATGTGTATGTTACATTGCACAGTGGCATTAAGAAGAAGTGCCATAGATAATGTGCACTCCTGCCTACCTCTTCGAGTATAAAAGGCGTGATGTTATGTAATGTTGATTAAAAAAAATATTTTATTTTTCTAGTTCTTTATTTTTATTTTTTATTGTTAATTATTCTATTCCAGCATGTGTTCAGTCAGTGCACTAGCCCCGCTGCTGTTGTGGAGGCTCCCTTCGGTCTGGCCGCTCCTGGCTTAGCTGCTCGTGGTCTGGCTAGTCCTCTCGGCTGGGCTGCTCCCGGCCTGGCTGCCAACGGCCTTATTGCTCCCGGCCTTGCTGCTCGTGAACTTATTGCTCCTGGCATTGCTTCTCCCTTCGGTTTGGCTTCTCCTTTAGCTTATGATGGTCTGGCCTACCCTGGTGCTGCTCCTTACGGCGGTGCTGGTGAAGGCAACGTGGCGGTCGCTGGGGAGCTGCCAGTAGCTGGTACTACCGCCGTCGCTGGTCAGGTCCCCATCATGGGCGCTGTGAGCTTTGGAGGCATTGTGCCTGCTGCTGGCTCCGTCTCCATCACTGGACAGTGCTCATGCGGCTGCAATGCACCCATTTACTATTGATTTGGTTTATAAATACACAAAGTTTAATTAAACAGACGTCTTTGAAAATAAAATGTATACTGTCTAGCAAAAGTATATTGCAGTTTTCTTTTACTCTAATTATGTTTTTTTTTGTTATTACAGACTTGGTTTGCTTTAGCAATTTTAATACAATTAATATCGTTACTTTTATTATAAATCGGAAAGTGAGTTTGTTTGTTTGTTCCGCTTTCACGCCGTAACTATTAAACCGATTGCTTTGAAATTTTGCAGACGAAAAGTCAAAAGTCTGGATTAAATAAGTACGTACTTTTTATCCCGGAAAATTTGATATTTCCCAGGGAAAACAAAAATATTGGCGTAGATGGCGCTGTGTGTATTTGTATACATGGCGGTGTAGGTATGTCATTTAAAACAAGTCAACGAATTACTTACTAATTGTAAATATTACGCTTTAATCTATACACTTATTCGGTGCACTTTTCATTTTCATGCATTTAATGAACTGTGAACATAGGTAACATTAGGGTCTTAAATAACATTTTTAAACGCTATGTTAGCTTTTCCAGCATACAAAATTAGAAAATAGTTGGAAACAAAGATTTGGATTGATTATTATTACTGAATGACTGCCTCGTTGGCCGAGTGGTCGCAAGTGCCACTGCTGAGCAAGGGGTCCCGGGTTCTATTCCCGGGTCGGGCAAAGTATTACTGGGTTTTTAAAAAATTCTCAGTAGTAGCACGGAGTCTGGAATTGTGCCCGGTATATGGCAATAGGCTCACCCCCTATTACATGGGACTCATAACATAAATAGTGAAAAGTGGGTGTTACATTGTACAGTGGCATAATGTGCACCTCTGCCTACCCCTTCGGGGATAAAAGGCGTGATGTTATGTTATGTTATGTTATGTTATT